TTAAGCATATAACTGATCGCATCCAAAAGAATATTTAACTCATTCATTTAGATGAAACATAATTATATCGTAAAGAATATATTTATCGCAAAAGTAATAAATCGTCTTAATATTACTAATAGTGTTATCAAAGGCTCTAGAAATAGCTGCGAAGCCAGTAATAAGAGTTAATGAGATGGATTCCGCGCCTCCCAGGTAGAGCAATTCCTACTCAAGACAAAATTTTGTCTGGTACGGCAGGAAAAAAAGGATGACTCAAAGAACTATCAATCATTGACAATTGACTCAAATGCAATCCATCTTGTGCAACTCCAGAAGTATATTCTATTATCTAGGAAAATAACGTAATGTGTAAATAATGTTTTCTAGACAAGGAAAAAAACCTATTATTTCACCTATTCTACATATAAAGACCACATAAAGGTCACTGGACGAAAGCTCAGCTCTCTTGTCATGGCTGCCCACACAAGTACTCGCAGGGATAGAAGTTTACACTGATAAATGCCCACATCAATGAAACCTCATAAAGATATATAAGCCACGCACGAAAAAAATAACATTAACATTATTTTTAGTTTGCAAAAAGCAACTTCTTATTTAAAACCTTCTTCGAATTTTTTTGCGTTTCGAAACAGAAAACGTCTTAAAACTACATATTTAAATTTTTATGAGGTTTATATACATTGCTATTATATTTAAATCTTAAATAACTCTGTCAACCGTAAATAACTCGAATTTGACTTCGCAGTATTGAGAGACCTCAGTGCGAGCTTTGCTCTTTAGATGTGCTTTGCACTGTGTTGTGTTCAACTTTTTTAGTAGTTTAAGTGCAACTATAGATTGTGCTCCGTCATGACGAGAAAAGCTATACGTTTGTGAAAAGTTCCAGAACTGTAAAGTGTTTTGTGAAAGTAAATTTTACCAAGCTGTCTTAGGCTCTGCGTGAATTTAATCCATTACGAACTCGTACGCATGCAAGAATTTGTATATATATATATATATATATACAGTAGTGGCCAAAACTGTGGACACTTTTGGAAATTTTTATGTTTTTGAACTTTGTATGATTATAGAAAACGTTACGTTTCACAAAATGCAAACTTGTATATATAATTTTAAAGAGAATTTATTACTGAATTCAATATAAAACACAAAATTCAATTATTTGCAATACAAAAAAGTTAAACATAATAGTTATCGATATACATTAGATAGTGATGATTGCAGTGAGTTATCAGTACTTAGTAGGGTACCCTTTAATTTTGATTACAGCTTCACATCGACGTTCCATTGAGCTGATAAGAGTTTTAAGCTCTTCTTTCGTTATTACATGATGCCAGGAAACAATTATAGCCTCAATTAGTTCCCTTATTTGATGGGCGCCTCATTCGGACAAGAGTTTTCAAACGGTGCCACAAATTTTCGATAAGATTGAGGTCAGGACTGTTTCCTGGCCATGACAACAATTTAATACTCTTTGTACGAAACCACTCTTTCGATATTTTGGCCGTGTGGCAAGGAGCAGAATCCTGCTGAAAAATAAACGAAGCATTGTTGGGAAAGAGATCTCTGATGGAAGGTAGAAGTTTTGGTTCTAGAATACTGTCAAGGTAGTTGCTGGCATTCAGTGTCCCATCGACGACATGAAGGCGACCAATAACATCTGCTGACATGCATGACCAAATCATAACACTAACTGGGTTCTTCACAGTTGCTTGAATGCAGTCAGGATGTAGCTCTTCTCCTATTCTACGTCTTACATATTTTCGCCCATCACTACCGAATAACGATATCTTAGTTTCATCACTCCATATAACTTGTGACCACTGATCATCTGTCCAATTAAAGTGTTCCTTTGCCCAATGTAGTCTTTTTTTTTTTTTTTTTTTTTTTTTCGTTGCTGAAAATTAAGATAAGGCTTTTTTCGTGGAATTCTACCTCTGAGTCCAACATCTGTTAATCTTCTCCTGATTGTTCTTGAACTGACAGAAACACCAGCATCATTCAGATCACTTTTGATGGCCGATGATGACATTTTTCTATCTTGGAGAAATAGTCTTTTTATTCTTCTGTCATTAATAGATGTGGTGCACCTTTTTCGGCCTTTTCCTTCTTGTTTTTTTTGAATTTGTCTCCTGATATCGTAAAAACAAAACTTTCGGACTCCAGATGTAGCACTGAACCACCCACCTGTCTTTGCAATTTCAGCATAGGAAAGACCACTTTCTCGTAACACAATAATATTACATCTCTTTCTAGGTGTCCAATATACTCTTTTATTTGATGTCCTTCTAAAATGAAAAAATATTAAAAAAAATTTTTTACAAAAAAACTTGCAATTGCAGTGTATAAGAAACAGGTCCTCCTTTTACAGAACAAAGCAAAATAATGAATTGTTTCAAGTGTAAACATGATGTCAGCTTCTATTGGCAGTTACTAACATTTGATTAGTTCTCAGAACAAGAACAATGATTGGCCAGGAAAGCTAGACATTACAAACCACTTCATAACTGTGTTTTTATTTATATTAAAGTACATGTAACTTTTTTTTGTATTGCAAATAATTGAATTTTGTGTTTTGTATTGAATTCAGTAATCAATTCTCTTTAAAATGATATATACAAGTTTGCATTTTGCGAAACGTAACATTTTCTATAAGCATACAAAGTTCAAAAACATAAAAATTTCCAAAAGTGTCCACAATGTTGGCCACCACTACATGTAAGATTTAGAAACAAACTACATTCACCAAACTAGAAGTTGCATAGATGCATTTTCGACTTAAAAAATCCTTATTTTTAAAATTATGCGGTGTGGCATTTAAAAAAAAAGCTCATATAATTTATGATTTATTCCATAACATTCTTATTAGAAGGAGATGTATATACATAAATTTATTTGAAGGCGAGATATTTAAAATTTGAATTCTTAATGTACCTTATCCATATCAAGCTGAAATATATGAATCTTCTTACGCCTTTAAAACTTTTCTTCTTTTCTTAAAAGCTTTCTAAAATTCAGGCTAATCTTAAGTACGAGCATATCATATATTAAAATCAAAACGATTTATTTTATCAACTCTCATTTTTAGCTGAACAAAGGAAATGAAAAATAAAGGAATTAATAAAATACTTGTTCGAAATTTTATTTTTGTAACAGTTCTGAGCAAGTAATTAAATATTCACTTGCAGCAGAAATTCGAAAGCAAAGACTGCATCCATTATTTCAAATTATGTTAATAAAGTGTAGAAAAATCTGTGTGTGTCGAAATGAGCTCTTAACAAAAACGGAACTTGGAATGTCCGAATGGATTTGAACGAAAATTGACGACCAAATTCACTGGTAATTGTGGTTATTACTAATTCACAGGTAATTATGGTTAACTGTTATATAGTATTATATTCTCTTAATTTGCATTGAAATTTTAAGCCTGCAGTCCTCTGTTAAAACTGTGATATTAATTTGAATCAAATGCGATATCTAAATCTGGTTTAAACTAAAATTTACTCCTAGAAAATTATTGTCAGCAATAGAACTATGATTTGAGAAACAAAATAAGATACAAACAAATTTTACTTTTGCCGCTTGGTTTACAACTTGCAAAATAATTTCAGACTATAAAGTCGCAATGCAGATAGCTTGGGTACAAGTGACAGTAGGTGGTTTGAAGCAGCTACCGATTATAATTCAATCCTATAATTAAACAAACACCTGAAAATGATCTAACTACGGAAATTCACATTCAATACTAACTTGCCAATGACTAATAACTACCGGCTACGTATAGGGAAATGAAGCAAAGTTCAAAGCAACAGGAAGATATTTCAGACGGAAAGCTATCTTCGTTAAACATTAAAAGCTAAAGTTCAGATAGATTGATATAATAGAGTTAAAAAAAAACAGAAAAAAGAAATATATTAAAAGTTAGCTATTAGAAAAGCAGTATTGTCAGAAACCAAATGTGACAAAATAGTAGTCATTATACTACTATGTTAACCAGAAAGCGATTAATGGAATATTCATGCATGACGACAATTGCAATCTCTTATAAGAACATTGCGTTTATTAAAAATATCAAAGGAATTTTTCTTCCCGAATGAATCAGACACACGAGATATAAATTTCTATTTATATTCATTTAAGCTGAAAAAAATACCTTTTCAGATATTGTTACATTTTCTGCCTAACCCATGATTTGGTATGGATCCATCTGTTATTATATTATTGGATCATCTATTATTATAAAGTATTTCTTCCAACTTCTTGGCATGCCTTCGTTGTGTAGTGTTCTGCACGCTGGGCGCGTATTCCAGGGGTCCGTGGTTCGATTCCCGACGAAGACGTTGCTCATTTTTTACATCTACTGCTTCCAAAAATATACCTAATATCTCTCTCTACAGTGGCGCCCGAACTAAAAGGGTGGTGGATGATGATTCTCCCACCCCCAGGATTTGGCGATTGGGTCCTCTAAAAACCCCTACCGTCCTTTGAAAGGGGAAGTACATAAGGTATTTCTCCAGTCTTCTTAGCATGCCTTCGTAGTGTAGTGGTCAGCATGTTGGTCGCGTATTCCAGAGGTCGATGGTTCGATTCCCAGCTGGGCGTTGTTCATTTTTCATCTTTCCTGTTTTCAAAAATTACTTCCAAAATTAGTGTCTCTACACTAATTTTGGATCACTTATTATTATATTATTGGAGCAACTGTTAGGTCAGGGTAGCTAATCCATCGGCATAAATTTGCCATTTTATTAGTATTCGCTAGATCGCTAATTTATGCATAATTGTTTTTCATATAAAGTCGTTATAAATTTCAGAAGTAAATAGTATATACTAAGGATAAATGAGCTATATTAATTTGATCCACAATTAAGAATTTTTCATGAGCTGTCCTTAATGAATTAACAATAGGAACGGAAGCAAATAAAATAAAAAATTTTGATGGATTGGGTTGGTATATTAAATTGGCAAATTGCATGAAAGAAATTTCTAGATCAACTTACCGTAAACGGCAATATCTCGATGCACCTGCACGCAGCCAAAGAAAGGTTCATCCGCTGATACTTGGCAAGTATACCGTCCCTCCGTCTCCAGGGTGACATTTCTCAAATATACTGTGCTCCGCCCCGAACGTGAAAGCTAGAAAATATAAATTATGCATTTATTTACAGCTTTAGGCAACATTTATAACACTGGGAACGCCAAACAGATACCACAGGACGAATGTTGGTTATAAAATTGCTAATGTTCAAGGACATTCAAAGCATACCATCGATTCAGGATATGTTTCGTATTCAGAAGAGGGTGATAAACGATAAATTCCCTCTGAAAAACGCGGAAGGTAAGATGAGAGAATATTTGAGATTCAGTAGAAAAATTACCAATTCTCAGTTTACTGGTATGACTCTCTTTTCGTGCAAATTTTCTCATAGTTTATTCGTGTATATAGTCGAAATAATTAAAATAAAATTTTTGGGTTTAATATATGGAATAATTTGATGCATAAGATCGTTATAACTATGCTCACATATATATACGATTTAGGTTTATCAAATATGTACGTGCAAACTTTACTAAAGACGAATGATGATTTAGAGTTAGATTACGTTATTTGGACAATAGGAAATCACACGAGGGCTGCCTGGCAAAAGGAAGGATATTTCGTGGAGGAAGTATTAAGGGAATCTGGCTCTTATCAAAATCACTAATGAGGCAATCCCCAAAACTTTCGTGACGTCAATCCATCCATTGCATTTGAGTTTTGGGTGAAATATCAGTGTTCAGCAATCTTATTTTTCGCCCGCTAATGAACTATTAAGAGTTATTACATAAAAGATTACATTTAAAAATTACTTATTAATAAGCGCGCAATTATATACATAAATGTAAATAAATATTCTTATAACTCTTGTTCATATGTAAAAATTATTTGTAAACATTTATTTTCTAGAACTAATTGTGTGCTTTAGACTTGCTTTTTCAATTGCTTAAATTTTAGCAAGAAAATAAAATCTGTGTTTGAGTAATACATACGCAGAATGTTCGTTGTGTCTAGCATTTATTATTGTGCTAGGAGGCGAACTGGTACTTAAGTAACAGACAAACCATATAAGTTTATTACACACTTTGTCTAAAAACGTTATTAGTTTAAACGAATGTATGACTCATGATCTAATGGCTGAAGTATAGAGATGATATTTAGAAAAATTAATCTCATTGCGATATTGGATAATTCCACAGTAATATTACGTGGAGTAGTTATCTAAAAGGATATAAAATTTGCTCCCTTTCTTTTAAAATCTTTTTTATGATCAAGGAGCCAGATCTTGATCTTCATTTATAAACCGGAATTTTTATTATGCGCATATGTAATGGGAAAAGTAATGCGTCGTTTAAAAATCGAGGTATTTTACTTTTCCATATTATTATCTGTTTCATTTTTATAATCGCAGCATGAAATTTCCAACTAAAAAATTAGTCACATGAACTTTAAATATATTTTCTTCAGGAAATGTTCTCCGTGAAAGGATAGCGTTTTTTAAGATTTAATTTTCAAATGGTTTAGCTCCGTAACTAGTCGAAACTTGCACTAAAATTCTTGTACCGAAAACTAAACTAACTTCATTTGTTTTCTGTCGTAATATATGGCCAGAAACTGAAAAAATTCGCGAAGATCCACGAACATTTTAATGTAGGATTTCATCTTCCTATGCTTTCTTAAAGAGGCATGCGAGTAAGTCTAACTTTAGACATTTGGACACTAGTATAATTGTTTTTTAATAGCATTACTGTTTTAAAATTTAGCCTTTATATTATGAATTTCAATGCTCATTTACTTCCTTGCTTTCTTTTACCTATATTTCCCATTTTCACGAACAAATTCAATTAACGCAGAAGGAGAGAGATACCATTTTTCCGTTGCTAATTATAAATGCTGAGTAATACAGCATATGCTGTCTTCCTGCTTATGTTAACGTAAAAGCACTTGTTCGAAATTTCGAGGATTTCATATTTCTAGAGTTCTTTAGCGTGTAATTCTATTGTTTTCATGGCTGTATTTTACTCAGCGCTTAGGAAAACGCTTCCGAACTCCGCTTTTGCTCGAGGAATAAAAATGTGCAAAATCATCATTAATACAGAGAATGGGAGTGAATTCCGGTTAGTGTTGTTTGGGGATATTGAAGAGATATATTTTAAATATTTCATATTTTGAGGGGGATTGGAGAGATGTATTTTAAATACTTCGAATTTTCCAAAAGAATTTTCCGAAATATTTTAGGTACAATAAAAGCGGGTACTGTCACTTTGTTTAAACAATATCGTAGTTTTTTTCTGTGATTATTTTTGTGTAAATATTTTATCTCGATATCTGAAATAATTTGACATGAGCGAGAAGACTTAGGTTTATATTATAGAAGACTTAGGTTTGAGATAGTTAATAAAATATAAAAAAATTCTTAAAATTGAAATTAAATTTATTATTCTTTGGTCAAAAAAATTCTACATATAGTATCAATTCGCCATGAGCGTTTAACGAATACAAAATGCAATACGTGACATCTCTGATAAAAGGCTTTTCAGAATTAGTTTGAACATCATGCAGAAACCTGCCTTATCGACAGCTTTTTACGATGCTGCAGGAAACGTTTTATTGTATGGAGTACTTCTCACAAGTCAACCAATTAGGAAAAAGAAAGAATCACGGAACCTACAGTCATAAAATTCCTAGAAGCAAAGATACCTCCAAAAGTTGCGTTATATAAGAAGGACTGACGAGATTTGTTGTTCATCTCACAGCAGTTTAAGAAGGAAAAACGGCGAAAACATTTTCATAGTGATGTTCAATGTAAAATCAAGTGTAAATGCAAGTTTTAATGTAATTTTTTTACGTAATGTTCGTCCCAAAATCATTCAAAGGTCTACTCTTGCTAAAACGGAGTTCCGAAGAGCACAAACATGTCTTAATAATGATCTGAATTTTATAGAGTCATGGAAGAAGAAACATATAAATATTTAATATGCCATATGGTAAGAAACTAATAACAAACAACCGTTTTAAAAATGCTATTTTGTGAGATTAATTTATTGCGCAAAGGAAAGAATGTGCTGTGACTAGTAGCACTGTCATATTGTAACTATCCGGCTGGCATCGTAAAATCTGTTGTTCGAATATCGGCGATGGCTAACTGATATTTCCATAGTCTACTACGAATAACATAATGTAGATCTTTATCATTTACAGCATGATTCTCTAAAGATTTAATCTTTTTCATATAAGTTTAAAGAATTTTGCTTTTTGTTCGTCAAATAATGCTGTGCTTCTTGAAGGATGTTTCTAACTACTCAAAGCGATGAGATACCGCTGTCGGTAAAAGCATTGACTTGAAAGTGAAAACGAATTCACAGTGCTTACTCCCTAAGATTTCGATACGCCAAGTTAACAAATCTGAATCTTGTAATTTAATATTTACATAGGAATCCGAATGTCAATTACCATGTTGGAAGATATCTTACCAAGTTTAAAAGATAAAAAAAATGTATTTGAAATTGCTTCTAGCAACGAAACATTTTAACTTTTAATGTTTTATAATATATTCTGTTTATCTTGCTATAATTTATAAATTTTTATTATCTTTCATATGCGTTGATTAAATATCTTTTCCATGTTTCCATGTGTTATTAAATCAAGATCAAGGAACTTTAATTAGGTAAATGGTACTTAACGATTGACTAGTCTTAAAAGAACATAAATAAATGGATTAAAATTAATTTTCCTTGAACTTGAGCAGTAGTAAAAGTTTTTTTAAAACGTTTATTTCATTCTGTAACAGTTACATTTTATTTTTCCACTAAATTTATGTCGCTGAAGCATTAAATCGGCAACGCTTGGAATAAAATGTATAACTGTGTTACTTTTCAATAATATGTGATCATAAATTAAATGAAAAGCTATATATTGGGACTATATTATCACACAATTACAAAGAAATAGATGTATTTCTTAACAGAAAAATTATCTCCATTGTCATATTTACTGATTCACGTTAGAACGTTTTAACGAATAAATGAAAACTAAAGCACACATTTAAAATTTGTAAGGCTATTTTAAAGAATAGCGAGAGATTAGAAGAACTCACTTATGATCAATAAAATTAAGCTTATTTTTAAGATGACAAAAACTACTTTTTAGAATTCAGTTCGAATCTTACTTCAGAAAACGGAAATTACTTTAAAAACTGCTTTTGACTTTTGTAAACGAGAAAGATGAGCACTTAAAGCTAATAAAATTAGGAAAGCGAAGGAAATCTAAAGCAAAGTTATTGGGTGGATCCGAAAGAATCACAAAAACGCACATAAATATTAACCTAATTTCAAACAAAGAAATACTAGCGTGGCAAACTAAGATATTAAGAAATACATTTGATGGGATGTTATTAATGAGAGTACTTATCTGAGGCATTTTGAGGAAACCTGCTGCAGAGAATTACCCCATCGGTTTGATAAATGCGAGAAAGTAAGGATTTTGGAACTGGAAGTTTAAATATAATAGAATTTTTAATCAAATTCATAAAAATCATTCAGATAGAAAATATGACGTTGAATATCTTTTCAATAGGACTTTTAAAGATTTCTTTTTCTAAATGACTGTTGATAAGGAAAGAACTGTAGGAATGAATTGTAGGAACAGAAGTAAGGTTTTTATTTTCTGAAACATAAGTAAGTTTCAAAGCGTAATCTTATATACAGTTCCCAACAAGACATAGTTCCATTTAATGTTTCAAACATTGTAAGAAATAACTTGAATGGACGCTACCATTTTAGCGTTATTTCATTTCAAAAGGTTAAATAACTCAACGGTTACAAAATGATAGTAAGGAACAGGGAAAATATATGTGGAGAGACTCTGCATTTTGAATGGCATACTGCCATTAAAGTACAAAGACCAAACAAAAGCTTCTACTTACAAGATGAAAGTTAATTTTATTTAATTATCAGTAAACGATAGTATAAATTCGATAGTAAATTATCAGAAAAGTCGTACAAAGTCTCAATCGAAATCGAATTTTATTGACTAGCAGGGAAAGCGGTTACAAATGACGTCGGACTTTACGTTAAATTTGGAATTGTCGTTCCTAGAT